TATTTCATTTTATGAAAAATTTGTCTTAATTTTTTATTATTATAATATACTTTATTTTTTCACTGAAAGATTTATTACTTTTTTATTCATTATTTAAGATGTCATAATTTAGTTTACAAATATAATTTGCTTTTCAATTTTTATTTTAGTTTTTAATCCTTTTGATCTTATATATGTAAATTGTGTGTTGGTAGGAAAGGATCCAAATTAAGAGGAATGAGAGTAATTGCCACATAAATTTTTATTTTTTATTTAAACATATTTAATAAAAAAATAAATTTACTATTATAAAAAATAGGCATTGTTCTCATAAGATATTTTTGTTTTAAATGAATTTAAAAAATTAGAAGAGATACAAAATAACACAAATAGTAATTATATTATATTTATCTTAATAATTTATACCATTTTGTTCCTCTTTTATTAAATAAATTACTAAAAATTACAAAGTTACACTTAAATATAATATCAAATAGGAAAAAAAAGGAAAAATTATCACTTTATTTATGAGAAAATTTTAATTTAAAAAAATGTACATTAAATTTTTTATCCCAAAAATATACTTTTTCTAAAAATTTATTTATTTATAATAAAAAAAATATTATAAAATATTTTATTACTTCTACTTAACAAATTTTCTGGATTTGCCAGTGATTATTGAGTAAAATAATTATAGCAAAACTTATTTAGGATAAATAGGTCTCTCTTTATATATATAGAGACACACATTATTTTTTTACAACCACACATAGATATTGTTAGATAAAACTTTTTAATGTACGTTTTTATCCCCGTTTATTTACTCTTCTTGCTACATTAATCACATTATCTCTTCAACCTTGAATTTTCTATTATTCCATCTTATTTCTTGATAATGCGTATGACAATCACTTTTCTTACCAATTAATGAATTTTATAAAAGGTAAATATAAATTACAATGACAATTTTTGTATGTGACTATATGTAACATTTCTTGTAATGGTTGTCTTTTATATATAATATGTTAAAATATATTAACATTTCTTTTATATTTTATTCTATTGTGTAATTTATTTCATTTTATGAAAAATTTGTCTTAATTTTTTATTATTATAATATACTTTATTTTTTCACTGAAAGATTTATTACTTTTTTATTCATTATTTAAGATGTCATAATTTAGTTTACAAATATAATTTGCTTTTCAATTTTTATTTTAGTTTTTAATCCTTTTGATCTTATATATGTAAATTGTGTGTTGGTAGGAAAGGATCCAAATTAAGAGGAATGAGAGTAATTGCCACATAAATTTTTATTTTTTATTTAAACATATTTAATAAAAAAATAAATTTACTATTATAAAAAATAGGCATTGTTCTCATAAGATATTTTTGTTTTAAATGAATTTAAAAAATTAGAAGAGATACAAAATAACACAAATAGTAATTATATTATATTTATCTTAATAATTTATACCATTTTGTTCCTCTTTTATTAAATAAATTACTAAAAATTACAAAGTTACACTTAAATATAATATCAAATAGGAAAAAAAAGGAAAAATTATCACTTTATTTATGAGAAAATTTTAATTTAAAAAAATGTACATTAAATTTTTTATCCCAAAAATATACTTTTTCTAAAAATTTATTTATTTATAATAAAAAAAATATTATAAAATATTTTATTACTTCTACTTAACAAATTTTCTGGATTTGCCAGTGATTATTGAGTAAAATAATTATAGCAAAACTTATTTAGGATAAATAGGTCTCTCTTTATATATATAGAGACACACATTATTTTTTTACAACCACACATAGATATTGTTAGATAAAACTTTTTAATGTACGTTTTTATCCCCGTTTATTTACTCTTCTTGCTACATTAATCACATTATCTCTTCAACCTTGAATTTTCTATTATTCCATCTTATTTCTTGATAATGCGTATGACAATCACTTTTCTTACCAATTAATGAATTTTATAAAAGCTTATATTTTATTAATAATAATATGTTAAAATATATGTTAAGAATAACTTATTCCCTCCAATCTTTATTATAAAACACTTTTAATTTAATTATATGAACTAATGTAAGTAGTTATGTCAGTTGATTTTATTGAGTTTATAAAACAAAATCATTATTTATCAAGTTTACCCTTCTTACTTAGGGATTGATGTGACAAATAAACTCATACATGTAATATCTAAAATTATCCTGACTTTAACGATGAATACCCGATTGACTAGGTACAGGTATGGATAATATTTAATTTATTAAATCAGATACGGGTATAGAGATAAATATATGCTTACTCATCTTTGTATCCATTGCCGTTTTAAATTTCTATAAATTTAATTTACTTTTTTTTATAATTTACTTTAGATTTATATTATTCTTATTCTATTTTAAATTTATGTTAGGTGAAACTTAATTGATGTAATTTTGTAATTATTACTCTATGCTGGATTATATATATATATATATATCTATATATATATATATATATTGTAAAAACTATTTAATTAATTTTTTAGCCAATATGAGGCTAGTACGAGTAATATATGATACTTGACAAAGACGAGAATGAGAACATAAATTTTATATCTACCAAGTATGAGGATGATAATAAATATAAGATATGAACTTAGGGATAGGGATGTTGATATTGAAAACCGCTCCCATCTCGTTCCGTTGCAATTCTTATTCTTACTTATCATTAAGTTTTCTTATAGAGGTGAAGATATTACTCTATATAAATGTTTATGCACTAATAACAAGAAAATGATAAATAATAATTTGAGAGTTTATAAGGTGAGAGAGAGAGATGGAAACACTCACTTTCACAATCTTTAATGAGTAAAAAATGAAAAATAAAATTAAACCTTTATAGAAATCAGTGTCTTATAAAAAGAAGGTTAAAATACCTTTTTAGTCCATATTCTTTAACTTACATTACATTTTATTATCTGTAGTATAAAATAAACAATTTTAAGTCCATATATTTATCTTTTTCATTCATTTTAGTTCTTATAATTTAAGATAAATCTTTTTAGTTCTTATCGTTAATTTTTTTTCAAATATGTGTTATTGAGGTGAATAATTATACCAAGACTTATTCTTAAAATAAGTAGGTCTCTCTTCTCTTTCTCTCTCTTTATATATATACATATATATATATATACACACACACACACACACACATATATATATATATATATATATATATATATATAAATTACTCTTTTACAACCACACAAATATTGTTAGATAAAACTTATTAATGTACTTTTTTAATTATCTCCGTCTTTTATATCTGTCAAGTATGGGGACGAGAATGGATATAGGATATGAATTTAGGGACAAGGATGTGGAGATTAAAACCCGCCCCATCTCATTTCGTTGCATTCCTTATTCTTACTTATCATTAAATTTTCTTGAGAAGTGAAGATATTACTATATAAATGTTTATGCACTAATAACAATGAAAATGATGAATAACAATTTGAGAGTTTATGAGGTGAGTGAGAGAGAGAGAAAAAAAAAACACTCACTTTCACAATCTTTAATGAGTAAAAAATGATAAATAAAATTAAAGTTTTATAAAATAGACATTTTTAAGTTCATATATTTATCTTTTTCAATCATTTTTAGTTCTTATAATTTAAGATAAATCTTTTTAGTCCTTATACTTGTAGTTTTTAAATTTATTTAGTTCTTATCATTATTTTTTTTGTAATGTTGTTCCTTTATTTAATTAATAAACCTATCTTGTTCATAGAAAAGACATAACATTACAAAAAAAAAATTAATAATTAAGATTAAAAAGATTAAAAACTTACAATTAAAGAGACTAAAAAAATTTATCTTAAATTATAAAGACTAAAAAGAATTAAAAGAAGATCAATATAAAAACTAAAATATCTATTTAAATTATAAAAATTAAAAAATAAATATATTATATAAAGACTAAAAAAATATTTTAACCTAAAAAGAACTAACAATTTCTTCTAAATTATGTCCTAAATACGGTAATAAAATAGGAATTGTTTTCCAAGTGAGGAGGTTACCTAATGCCATACCAACTCTGATTCAGTTACACAAAAAATTTCTAACTTTGATTCTCTTAAAAAATATATATATAAGAAAACAAAACTTTTCTTTTTTTTTTTAAAATCTAATCTCTGTCTTAAAAATACAACATTGATGCTAAGTTGATGGAGTAAAAAATAAGTACTAACAACACACTTTCTTTAACACATTCTCTTTAATATGTAATTTGTTTGTAAACTTCTCTAATTACCGTGTTCAAGTCTCAATGATTAAAAGAAAAAAAAAATAATAAACCGAATGAATTCAAAAAGAGATGGGAAATAAAAACAAAAAACAAGAGTGAAAAAAATAATTAATATGATAATAAAAAAATATCACTCACTTCTTGCTATATTAATTACATTCATGCTGCATTAATTACATTATTCAATACAACATTTAATTTTTTTCTTCTCTCTTCTTAACTCTTTATAATAAGTGTATGAAATCGTTTTTCTTACCAATTGCTGACTTTTATATATGTTTAAATTTTATCAATAATAAAAGCGTACTAAAAATAATTTTAAAAATGAAATATGATCTTTTTTAAAGTCTATTAATAGAATATAATTTTATTTCCAAATAAGGAGGTTACCCAAATTTTGAGCTGTAATTTCAACTCATCCTACACAAAATCAGCACAACATGCCAATTACCAACTTTGATTTTCTCTTAAAAAAAATCATTTTTTTTCTTCAATTTTGCAATCACAATATCTCAGGAATAATCTATTTGGAATATTCAAATAGAAAAGAAAAAAAAATGAAACGAGTGAGGGAAAAATATTTGATTACGATAATAATAAATATTAAAAATAATATATAAAGTTGGTATGTATAAGAAAATGAGTTGATTTCTTACCGTTCTCTCTCTAATGTGTATATATACTTTAAAACTTGGGACACTTCTATATATACTTGGTCACTCTCATTGGTGATTTTCACTCCTCTTTTGTCTCTCTCTTTGTTTCTCTCTAGCTATCATCTTTGCAAAGGTGCAAAATTCAGATATCCTTCAAACTTTTCTTTTTAGTGTCCTGTTATATACACCATTTTGAAAGCCTTAACTTGATTTTCCTCATTGTTTTTGCTTCTTTTTTTTTTTTTTTTTCTTGTTTTCTCTACAGATGGATCCTTCCCAAAAAAGGGTTTTAACTGATGACGGTACCAACAACGGTGGAGATGGTGGCAGGTTGCTGAATGTTTCCAAACTATTTAGAACATACTTTGCTGTGTTTGATCATGGGGAGGAAGGAGAGAAGAAAAGTGAGGAAGTTGGCGAAACAACTTCCATGGAAGTTGATGAAGTTGCTGCTGATGAGGATTGTGTTGATGTTGGTGGAAAAGAAGAGAAAGGAAAAGCAAATGATGCCATGGGAGACAACAATGAAGGTCTTGGTGGTGTTGAAGAAGGAATGGAGGTAGAATCCAATGAAGTTGTTGAGGATGAAACTGTTGTCATGGATGAGAATAGTGGTTTTAGCAGTAATCCTCGTAAAATGCTAGATTTTGATCTCAATGAAATGCCTCCTGAGGAGGATTCTGAATGAGAAGAATGGTGTTTACAACAATAATGTCAATTGAACCAGAATTTGGAGAAAACAAGGACATAATCAGCTAGGTCCACAAAAGGGCATGATATATTTTATTTTGATTAACATGGTTGTAATAGTCTGCCTTAGTTTATGAATAATCCTTATGGTAAAATAAATATGCTTAAAAATTTCTGTGTTGGTGAGTACTGAATCTTTTACAAAATCCTCTTTCTCAGCCTGTGTTTTTTTTTTTTTTTTTCATAAGCAAAATATTATTGAAAAGGGTAGGAGCGATTTGCTAAGAGGTACACAAAGTCTGTTAACGCAGATAGATAGTTTTTTGTGTGTTATGCAAGTACACAAAAATTAGTTTAATTAAATAGTGAATGTAGCGATGTTTGATCTATGCCAATTCTGAAATATTGCAATTTAGTTTATTGTTATTTTCAGCATAATAATAAGACTCATCACATAACTTATTTGACAACCTCACTTTTGTGTTTTAGAGTTTCCTTAAATTGCTCATTTTTTTTAACCTCATAATTAGATCTAATAGTTACATTCATTTGGAGTTCAATTTTGGATGTGGGTTAATTTTACCTTAAAATGAGAGTTGCGTTACATGAGTGGATGTATATTTTTTTGTTTGAAATCATAATATAGTTTTTTTTACACATAAAATGTTAGAGAGGGAATAATACCCCCATAATTATCGAACAGAGAACTAATGATCGAGAATTCTCAAAATAAATATTATTATTTACTTTTTGTCTAAAATAATTGAAGTTACAATAAATATTTAGTTTAATTCATAATTTTATTTATTGAACTCAAAGCCGCTAGAGAATTAATTTAGTTTCAACCTCCAAAACTAAGAATTTTTTTTGAAAAAGTATGTTCACTAAATAAGATTTTAATGCTTGGTTAAAATATGCTACAAAATACATTTATGTGCTATTGTTGTTTTAAATTTTGTATACATTTAATGAAGAACATGATTTTGAATGTTTTGTATAATAAGAAGAAAAAAACTCGGACCATGAAAATAATATCCAACAGACTAAATACTTACAATAATTTGTAAATGGGCCATAATGTTTTTGGTTTTAAATTGTATCTTGTTTTGGAGCTTGAATTTAATCCGCATTGGGAGCAATATAGCCTTGCATACAATACATTAATTGTTGAACTAAGACGACCCACAGTCTGAATTAATATTATAGCTTAGTAGGTTTTTCTTCTTTGTCCATGTTTGGTATAATGTAAGTCTCCGCGTTATTACATCTTATAATTAGTTGATTTTTTTTTAACTAAATGAACTTGAAGTCGATAAATAAGACATTTACAATAATTCGTTCACCGTGTGTAATCAATTAAGCTAGAAACTATTTATAGCTTAGTGGAAATTAATTTAAGATGGAGAATAAAAATCTTTAAATAAAATGAGGATCATTACTAACCGCCACATTGTTTTCTTTAAAATCCATAGAAGTTGACACCAAATCCTAGTTTTAGTTTTAATTTCAAAGTTGATGATAGTTAGAAGATCGATGATGTTTTTGGTTTGAAACTAAGATAATAATTACTCTTACATTTTAATTTTTTAACAACATTTTTTTTACTTATATTTATTAAAATATTACTATATGTTAAATAAATAGATTATTTTGTAAACATTCTTTTTTTTTAAATGTTACTATAAATAGAATAATTTTTTATTTCAATATTATTCTTTTTAGTTGTTTTCAAAATTAAAGTATCATATAGAGTAAAAAAAATATTATATAAGTTATTTTGTAATATCTTTTTAAAAAATGTTATTATAAATAAGTAATATTTTTTTTATCTTAATATTATTATTTCTAATTGTTTCTAAACTCAAAGTTCAACATCGAGTAAAAATAATATCTTCTCTCATGTATATATGTTTCTCATAATTAAAGTCTCATACCAAATAAATAAATGATCCATAAAGAGTTTATTTAATCATATAATTATACTTAAGATAAATAAACTTTGATATTTTATATATAACTAATGGTAACTAATTAATAATGTCTTCAACTTTCTCTTGAAGAACTCAAGAATTTAGGAGACAAAGTATAATAATTGATAGCAACATCTATATTAAGACTAATTATTATTTTATAAAGTTAACAAAAACTTAGCAACATCATTAAAATGTTATAAAAATATCACTTTGATAACATTTGAAAAAAGTTATCTAAAACTACAATGACAATAGTAGTACATGATAACTTCATTTGTAATATTTTTAATATAAGGATTGTTATTAGTTATTCTTGAATTCTCATATTAACAAGTATTCTCACTTGATTTACTCCTATATATATAAGAAAGTATCAACTTACTCCAAGAGTAAGTCTTGATACATTTACTTCATTCAATAACTCATGTTTTACATCAAATTTCAAGGATCTGATCATCAAATTAAAAGTTCTTAATCTAAAGATCAAGTTTACAATTTTTTTTAAAAATTGAAAATCATATGGTACTTATTATATATATTTGAATTAATGTAGAAAATGCTTTTATGATTATCCATTAATTTAAATTAATGAAATGAAGTATCAAATTAGCTGTTAATTTTTTTAAAACAATTGTAAACTTGATCTATACATTTAGAACTTTTAATTCAAAAGTTAGATCATTGAAATTTGTTGTAGAGCACCTACACTGCTATCATTTATAATATCGTACTAAGAGAGGACCTACTTTTGATACCATTTATACACCCTCAAATTTGACATCTCAATAGCTCTACTCCAAGACACTTCACATGGTGACGCTTCACTCAACTCCTCACTGGTCAGAATCCTTCACCTGTCAAAACCCTTCGTGGGTAGTTCTTTCTAAAATGTTTGGTCACTTTTAAGATCAATGACTATCCTCACAAACCAACACAAGACTTTTTAACATACTTTGTCCTCACTTGTACACTTTCTTGGAAACTTTACAATAGGTCACTCATTCTTAAATGACTATGTCAAGAACGCTTAACTAGAGTTCTTAAGTGATGAACTATCGAAATGTAGATGCATCATATTGGTATAGGTAGTACTAATTAATTTCTTTAAGTCATCCTCAATTGCACAATCTCACACATGTACAAATCTTTGAATCCCTCTCGTTTTAATGTATTTGGGTTGTTACAAAACACATCTCTATAACTTGGACTACCAAGCTACAACTCTCCCTATAAATATAATGAAATAGCCTAAAGTGGACTTCCTAGAATCAACGTCTCCAGCCATATCAAAGTTTGAGTACCCCACCAAAGTTGGCTTATCACCACCAATATAAAGTCCTATATTTGTAATACCACAAAGATACCTCAAAATCCATTTCTCAACATTTCAATGCTTTCTTCCTAAGTTTAATTGAAATCTACTAAATGTACCAACATCATGTGCTATAATTGGTCTTGTGCACACCATTGCATACATCAAACTACCCACCATAGATGTATACGGAAACCATTGCATATCTAATTTCTTGGTTTCATTTGATGGACTTTATTAAGAACTCAACTTAAAATGAGTAGCAAGTGGAGTGCTCACCACCTTAGCCTTTTCCATCTAGAATATATTCAACATTTTCTTAATATAGTCTTGTTACACCCAAATCTCATGTCCTTCATGGCAAATGACTCACCCAATTGCACACAAATGGTGAAAAGACTACACACATAGTCTTCTTTACCTTCTACAAGTCAAACTGGTTTCCAAGATGTGCTTACTTCAACTTATGTAGGATGTTTCTTACTCCAGAAAAATAAAAGGGATTTAGGAAAAATGGAAATCAATCCAACATATCCTCTAGATTAAGATCTAGTTGACCACCAAGCCAACTTTTAAGTTATGTTATATACATGAATTATACAATATTTATATAACATATCTCTAATATATAATTATATATTTAATATATTAATTCATATGATGCAAACATTTTTTGTGACTTGAATAATTTATACAATGTTTTAATCTAAAATTATGTATTAATTTGTGTTTCAATAACTTATAATTTGGTTGCTCTCTATTTGTATTATATTGACTATAATACTAAGTTTGACCCTTAAGTCGCTAATCGAACACTCTAATTAATTTGATGACTAGTCTCATTTTTAAAACATTGGTCAGGTAGCTTCATGTAGATCATTTCCTCCAAATCACCGTGAAAGAAAGCCATCTTCACATCCATTTGTTCTACCTCCAAATCAAGAGTAACAACTCAACTCAACATGGTTCTAATTGATGTCAATTTCATTAAAGTTGAGAAAATCACATTAAATTCAGCATTCTTTCTTTGACTAATTTTACCACTAATTTGGCTTTACACCTTGGAGATGTAAAGTTAGTCTCATGTTTCACTCTATAGATTCACTTGTTATCCATGGCCCTTTTGCCCTTAGGCAATTCACAGAATCAAAAGTGTGATTATCATGCAAAGGTTTCATCTTATCCTTCGTAGCATTCAACCACTTTTGCTTTTTCTTCACTCTCCACGACCCTTCCAAAACACTCAAAGTAATCTCCCATTTGTCAAGATCACATACTCATTAGAAGAGTATCTCATAGATGGTTGTCTTTTCTTGTTAGACCTCCTAAATTGGGCTAGTGGTTGCTTAGGTGCATCTCTAAGACTTTTGTCCTATGATGTACATTGTTCATTTTCATCAACATCATCAATAGGAACATCTAACTCATTGATAAGTCGTTGTTCACCAGCATAGTCATGTTACTCACCATTTTGAACATTAATATCCAAATTCTGAATAGGAAACCAAACTAGATCAACATTATCCTAGCCACTATCTCCCTTGGGTTTAGTTTTCCATGAACTTCACATCATGGCTTTTAACAAGCTTCTTAATTCTCAACAGGTTCATAAAATCTATAACCAAATTCATCCCCCACCATAGACAATTGTAGACACTAGATTTCGTTCGGGCTATCAAGACTAAGGACAAAGGACAACTAAAACAACATGGATGGCCCCCGAGGACCTGATAAAGCACCATAATGGACTAGAAAACAACAAGAGGCCTAAAGACTCAAAGGTAGGATTTTAGGCATGGAATGGGTCATTCCCAAACTGGAATAGGTTGTTCCAAACTACTAAAATATCCTAAAACTCTTGTTGGAAATGACCTGTTCCCAA